GGCTCATGACTCCATTGCCCAACATGAACTTGGGGGAATTATTGGTTTTGTTCTGTTCTTATTTTTATTATGTATTTTGTGTTCATTATATTGTGATTTTATGTTGTGAACCACCAAGATCTACAGGTATAGGGCGGTACACACACACACACACACACACACACACACACACACACAAACAAACAAACAATGAGGTAGATTGTAATACTGCAGTGTTAGCAACTTGAGTAACCTCAGTTATGGCCTTCGTGCAAATCTTAATGGTTCAGTGGAGAGCACCAAACTTAATCTCACGTGATCTGGGTTCGAATGCCCCCTCAATCACACTAGATGTCACTGTACAATGAGAGTAAGAGTGACCTACAGGGTAGTTTTAAGGGCAAGCTTAAAATTATAAAGTACATCACACATTCAGAACGATATACGTCAATATCAAACTGCATTCTTCTGTATCTGGATAACACTTTGAATTCAATGCAGGTGGAGTGGAACATCACACTATCAGAACAACACTATTTTCCATTTACTTTTGGCAGCAGAAAATAAATGCCCCAGATTTTGGGGAACTGGGCCTTTAATGTTTTGAGGCTAGGGCAGATAAACGAATGCTGGGATTTTAAGAATTATGTATGATTATGCATGACTTTGTGTTCCAATAATCAATTTCGTTTATAGTGCTCGCTTCCTGGAGAGAACTAGAGAAAGATAATTTCCCAGTACTTACTCAGCAATCTTATTGCAACCTCTATGCCGTTCCCATTCACACATATATGGCTTGAGGGGAACTCATGAAAACTGACCCCAACCCAGGCTTGACACACTGGGCCTGTCATATTCACCCTATAAGCACTGCCAGATTATTATTTGTTTTCAAAGATCAGAGTGAAAGAAAAGAAATCCCAGGCTTCTCTTTGGAGAAAGGAAGAAAACATCTCCAGGGGAGGAGATATGTGAGGCTATGACAGAAGAATGAACTAAACTCCTCCTGTGGGGAGTGGGGAAGAGAGAAATCTCCCAAATCAGAATTGAGACAGCCTGTGGAAGTAAAATTGCAGCGACTTCAACAAAGTGTTGGCTAGGTTGCCAACACTCCACCAGAAGGCAGGGATGAAACCTTATGTGTTGATTAGGTGTATATCTATCTATGTATCTATCTATCTATCTATCTATCTATCTATCTATCTATCTATCCTCAAAGGAGCTCAAGGTGGAATACATGATTCTTCCTGCCATTTTATCCCCACAGACCTGGAGCTTTTTGGAGAACGTCAGGGCTCTATCATTCCCCAAAGCTGTTCAACAGTTATACAGACTACTTTGGAAGGTGGTGGAGTCTCCTTCACTGGAGATTTTTAAACAGAGATTGGATGGCCATCTGTCAGGGTTTCTGTAGCTTTGATTCTTGAAATTGCAAGAGGTTGGGTTAGATCAGGCACAGGCAAACTCGGCCCTCCAGATGTTTTGGGACTACAACTCCCATCATCCCCAGCTAACAGGACCAGTGGTCAGGGATGATGGGAGTTGTAGTCCCAAAACATCTGGAGGGCGAGTTTGCCTAAGCCTGGATTAGATGCCTCTTGGGGTGCCTTCAAGCTCTAGAACTCCTTGATCCTATGGATTACTGGAAAGGTCTGGGCAACGAGAATCTGCAACTGAGCAGTTCCCCAGCCACCCACATATTGCTATTTTGGGACACGAGAAACGACAGACCAAGATGACAAACAAAGGAACTGCCCCATAATTAAGGAGGTGCAGAAGCCTGTGAACTTCTGTGATTATATCTGTCCAACCACATCACTCTCAGAAGATTTAACTCTTTAGTGTATAAAGTGTTGCGGATGTGTAGCAAGTCTGGAAGGAGCGGGGGGGGGGGGATGATAAAAATGCAAGCAGAATTGGCAACCACCCATTTAGGAAAAATAATTGGTAGGGATACATTGATAAAGCATGAAGAAAATAACTTAACATCAGCGGGTAGACAATGCAGATGTTTAAGCCTTATCAGCATATAATGCTAACAGTTCAAAGAGAACCTCAGAAATGACAGGGAAGCAATTTGCTACTTCAGATGCTTTGTCCATTTGTGAAGACAGCCATTATTTGCTACCAAAGCAGAGCACCTCTCTCCCTGTGTATGTACGTGCGAGTGCCTAAAAGCAAGCAAGAGTTGCATAAGGAAAGGATATGCAGCACTTTTGCTTGTCAGCACCCGCATCAGATGCCCGGTCCCCATCCCCCACCTTAAGACAGCTCCTGAATGTGGATTTATTAGAGGATTCTAGCAGCAGCCCTACTAATTCTGCCTTTAATTGCTGCCTTTTTGGCATAATCCAGATTTGCTCAAGCACAGCACCACCTTCACACCTTGTCCATCTCCCATCCTTCTGCTTTAAAGGGCAAGTTCCACACAATTTTTCCAGGAATTATTATTATTATTATTTGTGTTAATGTACATTAAGAATTCAATCAGCAGTTTCTTTGCCTTCACCAACGAGACTGTTTTTCAGAAACTCTCTGCTATTAGCTTTACTAAAAAGAAAGCATCTTTGCAAGAACCCCATGTGCAAAAATGGTAATCTGCCCCTCATATCTGTAGTCAAAGGTATTTGCAGCTAATGAGATTGCTTGAATGATGCTTTTCTGTATCGTTGGCACTTGTAGATGGCGTATGGAAAGTCACAAGTCTTTTGTATCTGGATTGGTTTTTGGTAAGTGTGCTACAACTCTGCGTACATTGGGCCATATTAATATGCTTTGAGTTGTATGGGTTTTGTAACATGATATTTTTAGACTTTATTTATCTGCAGCATGTTACGACCTGCCCTGAGCCCTTGGGATAAGGAAGAATTAAAAAAAAAAATCAGAACAGATAAATACGTTATGACAAGTCTTTCCAGTATAATCTCTCAATTTAAAAGTAGCAAGTGTATTCTATATCACTCCCACAAGATTAATTCTTTATATACCACAGTGGAAATGTCAGAAGCCCATCAGTTACAAATGTACAATGTGACAAGCACTAGTAAAATGGGAAGAAAACTGTTAAGCAAAAGCAAGTTTCAATATGCTAGGCAAAGACTTAGAAGGCAATTGTGTTCTAACCCCCGGCTGACATACCCTTTCTTAAATGGTCTGGGCACCAGCAGAGGGCAGTGCATTCTCAAGTGGTAAAAGAGGGAGAAGAAAAGCCCTTAGCAGTTAAGAGAACTACAAACAGCCAGAGAGAATGAGCCAAATCAAAACCATCAATTAAATAATCAAAATAAACATTGTGAAGTCACAAACAGATATTGGTCCTGGTAGTAACGCTGAAGAGCTCCAAGCTGTGAAAACTACCCCATGGGCTTAAGAACCTAAGAGCTCTGCTGGATCAGGCCAATGGCATGTCTGGTTCAGCATCCTATCCTCACAGTGGCCAACCAGACATCTGTAGGAACCCCACAAGCAGAACCTGAACGCAACAGCACATGGCTCACCTGCGATTCTCAGCAACAGGCATTCTACTGCATATTCACTCAGTTTTGAGAGGTCCTTTTGGAAGTCTTCACAACCTTTTTGTTTTAATGACCCTGATCAATTTAGTATCATCAGAAACTTGGCCACCACTGTTCACCTTCAACTCTAAGATAGTTTATGAACAAGTTAAAAAAACACAGGTATCAAAAGCAGTCCTTTGGGGAACTCCACTTCCTACAGCTTTCCATTCAGAGAACTGACCATCTCTGCTTCCTGCTACTTAATCCATTCCTACACCACAGGAGGACCTTTCCTTTCAGTGTGGTGGAGTCTCCTTCTTTGGAGGTCTTTAAGCAGAGGCTTGACAACCATATGTCAGGAGTGCTCTGATGGTGTTTCCTGCTTGGCAGGGGGTTGGACTCGATGGCCCTTGTGGTCTCTTCCAACTCTATGATTCTATGACTGCTAAGCTTACTCAGGAGTCTTTTGTGCAGTACTTTGTCGAAAGCTTTTTGAAAATCCAAGTACATTATGTCAACCACATCACCTCTATTTATATGCTTGTTGACACTTTCAGATAGCTCCAATGGGTTTCTGGGACAGTACTTGATCTTGCAGAAACCATGCTGATCTTGTTTCACCTAGGCTTGTTCTTCTATTTCCTTGGTTACTTTATCCTTAACAGTGCTTTCCACCAGTTTTCCAAGGATAGATGTTAAGCTAACCGACCTATAATTTCCAGGAACCTCCCAGGATCCATTTTTACATATCAGTGTAACATTGACTACTTTCCAATCAAAGCTAGTTACATATTTTTGTTAGAAAACCAGCATTTTCACATTTGTGTTCTATGAGAACTCTCAGGTGGGTGCCATCTAGACCCAGCAATTTGTCAATTTTATTTTATTTAGTCTATTAGGCCTAGAAAGAACTTCATCTCATGTCACCGCTATCTGCCTCAGTTCCTCAGACTCCCTTCTTGCAAAAGTGAGTCCAGGCACTGGGATCTGCCCCATAACTTCTGCTATGACGACAGATGCAAATAATTCATTCAACTTCTCTGCAATGTCCTTATTCTCCTTTGACCCTTTTGTCATCCAAGGGTCTAACTGCCTCCCCATATAGTCTCCTGCTACTAATGTACTGGAATAACTTATTGGTTTTGAGCTTCATGTTTTTAGCAATGTGCTCTTCCTTACTGCCTGCTTGCACTTTGTTTCCCCAAGCTTGCGTTACTTTTTGTTCTCATTTGGACAAGACCTCCATATTTTGAAGGAAATCTTTTTGCATCTACTAGCTTCTTTGACTCTTCTCATTAACTATGTTGACATTCTGGTGGCTCTTACGGAATCTTTCCTGATCTGCAATCTACACTCCAGCTGAATGTCTAATATTGTGATTTTAAACAACCCTCAATCATTTGGGAATGCTTTGACCCACATTATACTCGCTTTCGCAATATTTAAACTGCAATCAGGCAAAGCCACGCATGCCAAATTCTAAGTCACTGGATAAGTAATAGCCAGGTGAAATAATAGTCAAAGTCTCTTTCAATAGGTTTATTTTGGCTTAGAATTACAGGAAAACATATGATAATAAGAAAATAAAAGTCTAACTTCCACCCTTACAGGATTGCTAAACATTTGATTAGTTCCAGGCACAAAGAAATGAAACAAGCTAAGCGTTATCACACTCAGAGGTGCCTCATACCAATGAATGAAAGGTTTCCACCCTCTCTTTGTAGAGTCGGTGAAAAGCATTTGCCATGATGTGAAAAGGGGCTTCATAGTTTTCCATCTCTTTCTGTAAACATAGAAAATAAATATATAAAGACAGAGGAAAAACTCGTTTAATTACTTCAAGAAACAACAATTGCAGGAAACAACAATTGCTGGAAACAAGCTAAATTACAGAAAGACAACAACATAATCCAGTGCCTCCTCTATCTGAAAATTAAAGCAATTATTTCTCTACATCCGATTATATAGACACTCACTACTGACATCTCGCAGTATTCTAGGCCATTGGTTTCTGCCCAGTCTTTAGCTTGTTTTTGTTCCACAACTCGCCTATCGATCAAATCGGTCTTATTGCCCACTAGCACACCTACACAAAAAAAAGGAAGAAAAGAAGCATTAAATTTTTAACAATGGCACTATAAAATCTAGCAAGTTAACAGGTAAAAGAGACAGGAAAATGTGTTGTTTGACAAGGTAATGGAAAGAAACACCACAAGGGAGTCACATGGCATATGTATTTCCCATATTTGTTTCAGATACTGACTGAATAAAAGAAAGGCATTCTAACAGCTTGGAACTGAGATGCTGATGTCTGTCAGAACTCATGTGCAGGAGTTACAGGCACAAAGTATATATGCAAAAATGTTCAGTCTCCTACCTGGAATATGTATTCCAGAGGCTTGGGTCCTTAGCTTCTCAAGCCATTTGGCAGAGTTACTGAAAGACTGTTCATTGGTAACATCATATACAATACACAGGGCATTGGGCTGTTCCCACTGTGCAACAAGAGGAAAACACTGTCAGTTCTGTTGAAACAGATGTTGTCAATAGTCATTACAGCCCTGGAGACCTCATAAAAAAATAATTTTGGTATATAAGGAGCATCAGAAAACCAGAGCTAGAAAAGAAAGTCTGATAGACAAGGATTCCGTCATCTATGGAAATATCACTGGCATTCAAAAGGAAAGGTACATTGCTGTAATTCAGCCAAATTCTTATCCAAAGCCTCAAAAAAGCACTTTCAAGGATGGAAAACTGGGGTGTGTGTGGTGGTGCAGCAGTAGCTGATCATATTCCATGAAAAGACCATAGTATAAACTCATAATGAAGTCTAAAAACCATCCCAAATGAAGATATAACATAGCTATCGGGAAAGACAAAGAAAGAGATTAGTTTATACTTTTCTCTGGCATATTCAGCAAGGTACCATGCCAATGCCCACTTCGTGAATCAGCGTAACTGCCCCAGTGTTTTAAAAACTAGGAAAGCTACCAAACACGTAAGAACAAAGCAAGTTGAAGTTGAAGATCTATTAGGGAAACATAAAAAGGTCTTCCTTGTCAGGGATAGCCAACACTGTGCTCTCCAGGTGCTTCTGGACTCCAACCCTGATCAGTCCCAGCCAGCACAGACAATAGTCAGGAATGATGGGAGTTGATGTCCAACAACCTCTGGGGGCACCAGGCTATTCCTGCTCTATGCAAATATGCTCTCTGCACAATACGATCCATGGGCTTTCAATTTACAAAGCAGGAGTGCAAAGCCAAATTAAGGCATAACTATTTTCTGTGAAACGATCCCAAAATATGCATTCTGGTTTAAGTGTTTTGCTGGATCAGACAAAGGCCTGTGTTAATTATCTGAAAGAATTCAAATAACCAGAAGGCATTAGTTGGTACACCTGAAACTGTGCTGCACTGCTCAATTGTATTTAAACTTCTGCCCACTTTTGTTTAGGAGACTGAACCGCTCTCTTCCCCTCCCAATAACTTTTATACATGGGGAAAATTGCCCGCCCCCCGCCGTGACGATCCATCCAGTTGTTAGGAAAAAGGAAGACAAGAAGGAATGATTACTCCCAGTTCTTATGCAAGCTTTAATTGGGATGTGGAGGCCAGGGGTGCTTCAGAGCTTATCTGTTGAATGAAAACTCTTATATTCTACTTGCCAGTTTCTCTAGCATTTCAGAAAATATTTCTTTCCCTGCTGAGTCAAAGAGGAAGAGTTCCTGAAAGCAAAAGCAAAAACAATGTGTAGCCATGAAACCTTCCCTACTAAGTAAACAGTTTTTAAATGCTACCTCACTTCAGGCACAGCAATGATCACAATCTTAATAATTAATAATAATACATGTAACCCACAGAGCTATAGAAATGAATTAACTATTATATTTTTAAATACAGAAGAAAACACACCATAGCCCAACGTAGTCCAGCTTGCAAGTATTTCACTGCCCTATCTCACCAAACAGCCCATGACTAACTCACCAAATGGTGGCAGCAAAGAGCTCTGAGGGATGAGGGAGAGTCAAAGCGGTTGAGATGGTCCAGAAAGCTTGTTCTTTCCTTTCCTATAAAACATTGATTTCTGCTTCTATTCCTAGTATCAACTTATTGCATAGACAAAATAGCAACTCATATACCAACATAGGTACATGATTTTATCCCAAAGAGGTAGGAGTCCCAATGGGTATGAAGTTATTGGAACAAATTAGAGAGTCCAAGACGTTGCATTGTCAACATTAATGCTATACAAATAAGTTTTCCTACGTTTGTATAAATTAACTAACAGAATTGGAGTAAGTTAAACAAAGTCATTGAAAAAAATGAGAATTCTAGATAGGCATTTTAGATAGGCCTATTTTAGATAGAATTCTAGATAGGTCTATCTGTTTAAATCATAGCTGGGCTCACCACACTATCATTTGTCTCTGGAATGAGTACCGTCTTCACCAGCAATTCTACTCCTGTTGTCTGTCAATCAAAATAAGGTAAACATGTCATAAAGATTCAGAGGAAGCAAGTGTATTTTCATACTATGCTTGCCTAGGGCCAACAGAATCCTTCAGGCTTTTCAAATCATCATCACAATATAACAAACTAATTTATATGTCATAGAAACACTCAGAATCTGAAAAATGGATGTTTGGGACTAGCCTGGAAAAACAAAACCAGGCTGAAATGAAGGCAGTTGCTCACAGTTATAGAAAGTTTATTTTGCTGCAGGACTAGCTCTGGCTATAGATTCTTTAGGGTATTTTTCAAACCCCTTTTCAGGCAACAATCTTCATAAGAGAAATAGTACACCCTTCTTTTTCTGCTCACCTAAGGTAAATACAAAAAAGTATGTTTCAACATGAAGACTTACAAGTGCAGAGACCTGATTTGTACAAGTCTTCCCCCTCAAATTGGGTTTCCACATATACAGGTCTCTGTACGGGGTGCCTGTTCCACATTTCCTTAGACATATACTGTAGTGGGAAATGGAATGGGATGCACTTTTGCTCCTCCTGCATTTGATCATAATTGGTTGTGTAAGTGTACAAACTGGTCCTAGGTAAATATATCCTTGCCACTTTTCTGATGGGATGTTTTAAATGTAACCAAGATACTTAGCACTATGATTAACATTCAGATCTGTGAAGATAACACCGATGTCTCTCCTCCCCGGTGCTTGTCATTCCATCCAAAAGCTCACCAATGTATAATTTTTCTGAAAATGAGCCCCATCATTGCAGAACATCTGGACCAAGGCACTTTTCCCCACTGCTGGGTCACCTGCACAACAAATAGAAAAAAACTTTTATTCTAATTTGGCTAAGTTACTTCCTTCCTCCAATTATATTCTAAGAAATATAATGGACCTGCGGGTATAGAGTGGTATATAATTTCAATAAATAAACAAAAGGGGGGGGGAATGCTAAATAAATAAATAATACTGATGTAAACAATGAGCAGTTCAATATTATACATTTTATATGCATGCTGAAACCAAAGGATTTAAATACCGTATACCTATCTGGGCAAAGGATGGAGGTGGCACTGTGGGTTAAACCACAGAGCCTAGGGCTTGCCTAGGGCTTGCCGATCAGAAGGTCGGCAGTTCGAATCCCCGCGACAGGGTGAGCTCCCGTTGCTCGGTCCCTGCTCCTGCCAACCTAGCAGTTCAAAAGCACGTCAAAGTGCAAGTAGATAAATAGGTACCACCCTGGCAGGAAGGTAAACGGTGTTTCTGTGAGCTGCTCTGGTTCGCCAGAAGCGGCTTAGTCATGCTGGTCACATGACCCAGAAGCTATATGCTGGCTCCCTCAGCCAGTAAAGCGAGATGAGCACCAAAATCCCAGAGTCGTCCGCGACTGGACCTAATGGTCAGGGGTCCCTTTACCTTTATCTGGGCAAAGGAACAGGACCAAGCTAGACATGACATTCATTGTGTAAATGTAATTAAAAGCAATGCATGTTTTTAGTGTAAACAGTGGCTGAGGGAAGGCTGAGGAGTCTCTGGACCACAAAGGTGGGGAGGAAAAGTTTTTCTTCCTACCACAGTGCCCACATACCGTAAATTGTTTCTTCAAAGCTGCAATTTACATTTCAAGGGATGCCCCCATCACACCTTGAAATGAAAAGCACACATTTCGAAAGCTGTTTTTTCTTTTTTGTGTGGACTGTAGCAAGGAGCAAAATAATTACCTGCCAGTTCTGTGGCAGCTCAAGATTCTCCAGAACTGCATTTAGCATGGCCCTCAGGCTGTATGACACCTGTTCTCAATTTTTTGCAAGTACACAAACTCCAAAGATCTGCTGTGGTACTACCGACCATAGCATGGGACACTACAGAAACTGACTTTCTACCTTTTTTCTTCACCATCTATCAGGACAGCACTTTTGGGCTACTTATATATTTTACTTGCTACTATATAAATATTATTTTGCTTCTTTGAGTTTGCCACAACATTCTTATTATCAATGAATGCTAATCATAACCTTGTCCAGTCTTATGTTCATAATGCGAACAAGAGTGAAGTTAGGAGATCTACCGTACAGAACACAACAAATGGCATTGTGGAAACATTGCCTAAAGGTGCAACATACGGTACTTTCCAGTATGGAAAAATATTTAATTCCGATCATAACAATATTGTCAGGATTCAGTATCAACATTTTAGGCATCAGAATTGAACAGGAAAAACATGTTAATTCTTCTGCATAAGATGCACGAAACGCTCAGATTTCACAACAGTTTCTCTCTGTTCACACAGGATGCAATTGTTCTGCTAGACATGCATACGCAGGAGCAACATGCATGAAAAATTCAGTATTTAGGCTCAAATTGAGCAACTATTTCCAAGACTAATTGAAGGAAATTGTGCTTTTCAGGGCGGCTGGTCTGTGTGTGTTTACTCCACTCAAACTTCATACTCTTGCATAGATGCCAGGTAAGACAGGAGCACCCAATGGACATAGCAGAAAAAATGTGTCCATTATGCATGAGACAACACAGTCAAATTTATACGCTTCTGGCTGACTAGACCACCTTGTAAGGCAATTAGAAAATAAAATTTGTTTAGGCAAATTGAGTATTTTGCATTTATCAATGGTGGTGTAAGGTTTGCTTTTAAAGTAAAAATATGGAATATATCATTGTGAGGCCCACAGCAGAGTGCTGATGTAGCTTCAGCAATTATCAAATTGAGATTGAGCTCTATATAGCGGCAGCATACCTATTACTGGTCCTGCCCTTGGTGGTAGTTGCCTTATCAGTTAAAGGCCCCAGCCTGCTCCATTAGTCTTCTGCTCTGGCCTCACCCACCTCATGGGGGCCTCTGCAATGGAGTCCTCTAGACTGAAGACAGCAGTGATACATCCTTAGGCAAGAAGGGCACTGGCACCAATTGACTGCCCACCTATGAGGCAGGATGAAGCAGAGTAAGTCCCTGAGTTGGTACCCTCACGGGCACCCTGCCTGTTCTGCCGCCTCCACCACCAGTGGAGAAGCAGTGCTGGTGTTGGTTCCCATTTCCAGCGAGATCTCACTGAAATCTCGCAACATCTCACGGAGCACAAAGGGATCTTGTGAATCTTGCTGATGCTGGCCCTTCTACGCTGGTGGAGTGGCACGTCTCATTTCGTCTCAAGCGGGACACACCAGCCCTGCTTCGAAGAGCTTTTGGGGGATTAGCCCTGCATGGCCTCCCCCTTCAGAGTCTGCCCTCATCCCCTGCAAAAGAGTAATCTGATTCTAGGGTCACGACCCTTCTAAGATTCTAAAGAAACATCCCATAATGCTAAGCATGCGATAAAACCACATCATCGTTCAATAATCTTGGCATTTTCTGTTCTATTTGGGAAACTTGCATGTCTAAAAGCTGATCCTAAAGCCTACAGTGCCTCCTGATCTGCAGATTTTTTAAACAACCAACTAACCAACCAACCAACCAACCAACCGTCAATATGCTTTCTGGCAAATCAAGGTAAGTTCAAACTGCCAGTTACAGTCCATTTCTATATAACAGGCACGTCCAACAGGTAGATCTTGATCTACTGGTAGATCATGGGGGGTATGTAACTCACTGCCAGTTATTTTATAGTGGGAGTAGATCTCAGTCTCTTGAAAGGTGGACATGCCTGCTATTTAACATGGAACTGGAACAATCTCTTCCTTTCACCATTGTTTTCTTTTACAGGTTTGCAAAGAAAGCCTTTGCCCCCTTAAAAGGAGGACCTGTTGCAGACTAATTGTCATTTTCAACAACTAGAATCATTTATTGATTGATTTATATGCCACCAACTGATGCAAGAAAGTTTGCAACACGAGAGACAAAACATTCACATCACAAAACCAAAATTAGATGTGACTGATAGAAATCAGCAATGCCCTAGAGAGCTTATGTTTGACATTGGAGGGTCAAACTGGTCCCAGAACAGTAGAATAATTACTGTAGATAGCAGGTGTGCCGAGCTTTTTTCCTCTTTGTGTGTTTTCGCTTTTTGAAGAGCAAGTCCTCCTACCTGGTGTGCTCCTGTGCTTCCCTTTCTACAGGGCACAAAATTAACCCAAGGCATATACTCTTTACTATACATGTAAATAAAACCCAATCCTAACCATGTCGATCTAGGAAGGAAGGGATTCTCAAGAGATTTCTAGAGCGGGGCAGAAATGATTTAAAAGCAACGGTTTCCTGTTAGGCTGCGTTGCTATAAAAGCAACCGAACACCTTAACCGCATCCTTAGATTGCGGGCGCTTGTGCAGAGGCAGCAATGCTCTGAGACGAGGACATGCCTTGGCCCGGGAGGGACTCTCAGGTCCCTGTGCACGAGGTGCGACTTGTAGCGATGCTGCCGAGGCGGCCAGTTTCGGAACTCACCTGCCACGATGCACTTGGCAGCCAGCTTCACCATGGCCTGCGCTGCCCCTTCACCACAGGAGAGGATTTTGTGGGGAAAGGGGAGAGGAAGCGGCCGGCGCTTATGGAGGGGAGGGCTGTGTAGGCATCGAGGGGCTGGAATTAAGGCAGGCGGGGAAAGGGACCCCTGAGGTTGGGCCTAGCGGGTCGGGAGGGAGAGCCGCCCTGAGATCCGCGGGGACAGCGGCGCAGGGCCTGGGCTACCGGGTCCCCGCAAACCCAGCTTCCAACCTAAACCACGCTCTTCCGCCTCTTGCGGAAAAAAGCGACTCCAGCCCTCTCCTAGCAACAGGACACGAGAACGTCCGCGCTTCCCCCGCCCACCCCCACCTGCAATCCTATTGGCCGACGCTCCCCGTTCTCGGAAGAAGCGATTGGTTTCGCGTTGCGCCCGCCTACATTTCCGTTTGGCTGTTCCCTCGCACGTCCTTTCCGCCCTTTTCGTCGATGCCCTCGGCTCATTAGTTCTCAGCATGTGCCGATCAAAAGGAACTCTAGGCGCCTATTGGCTCAGTTTGTGCTCAATCATTTGAAGTCGTCCAGGGCCGCCAACCGCGATGACGCCCCTGCCTGAGGAAGCGATGAAGTCATTCAAAGCAACAATTTTGCGTGCGTGGACCGTCTTCTTCTACCCGGTGATTTATGACCCGCCAAACGAGCCTATTTTATGATTGGTTGAGCCCGGGCGGCCTGTACCACTGGGACGGAATCATGCTCTTTTCGTTGTCAATTCTCTAGGGACGCCGGAAATGACTACGGTTAAACTGTCTTCCGATAATCCCGATTCGGTGACTACTTTCCATTAGGATTCTGCGAGGCAAGACGCGGGCTCACTTCCCAAGTCAATCCCTAAACACCCCCACCCGCCCATCGACAGTGGGCCTTCCCACGCCGCTATGTGGCTCCTATGTACTTTCTGTGTTTATGGAGGCTCCACGCAAGGTTAACTGAGTATTCCGCGTCTGCGCAGACCGACGCTGGCCCTGTCTCTTCCCCACCCCCACACGTTGCCCCTCCTTTGGGAGAGAGCGGGGAAGGGCTGCGCGCGCTGCGGGGGGTTCGAACCGTGTCCAACGGTCACGGGCGTCGCGCGCTTTTTGACCCTCCTCCGGCGGCCCTTCCTTCTTCATCGTTGACTTCAACGTCCCCAGCTCGGGGATGAGTGGCGTCTACTGTTGCTCAACCATAGGAGAGGGGCCTCTCCTCGCGAATTCCCGAGCAAAGGCAACGAGGGAACCCACCCTTCCTTGAGGCAAAAGGAAGGCGGGATGGGGAGCAGAGAGAGGGGAGAGTAGCTGCTGCTTCCCCACCCCTTGACCCCGAAAACGGGGAAGAAATGGTAGGGAAGGGCGGAGAGCAGGCGCCAGCCAGTATTGCAGTTAATCGCAACAGCTGACATTGCTCCAGAGCTGGAAAGGCCATTCGCCGCTTTTTGGAGTTCATTGTGTGTCAATGCCGCCTTTCTTTTACGGTGGCATAGGCCCCACTGGTTTATATCTTCACAATATTACTGTTGAGGTGATAATGGCTAGCCCGGGTGTTCCCAATATAGTGCCCAGGGCTGGCTTACCTAGGTGGCAAGGTGAGGTGTTTGGGAGCCGGTTGAAGTTAAATCCTTCAAAGACAGAGGTCCTCTGGCTGGGACGGGACAATATGGGATTGAGGGGGCAACTCCCATCTCTTGCGGGGGTGCAATTAGTGCCAGCACCGTCCGTTAAGAGTTTGGGTGTAATCTTTGATACCTCCCTCTCCATGGAGGCACAGATTACAGCTATAACAAAGGCGGCATTTTTTCATTTCCGCCAAGCTAAGCAGTTGGCCCCTTATCTCTCTCGCCCTGACCTAGCCACTGTGATCCACGCGACGGTCACCTCCAGACTGGATTATTGTAACTCGCTCTACATGGGGCTGCCTTTGAGACTGACCCAGAAACTCCAGCGGGTGCAGAATGCCGCGGCGAGACTCCTTACGGGGTCTTCGCTGCGAGATCACATTCACCCAGTGCTATACCAGCTGCACTGGCTCCCAGTGGAGTACAGGATCAGGTTTAAGGTGCTGGTTTTAACCTTTAAAGCCCTATATGGCCTAGGACCCTCGTACCTATGGGACCGCCTCTCCTGGTATGTCCCACAGAGGAACTTACGGTCTTCAAATAAAAACATCCTGAAGGTCCCAGGCCTCAGAGAGGTTAGGCTGGCCTCAACTAGAGCCAGGGCTTTTTCGGCTGCGGCCCCAATCTGGTGGAACGCTCTGTCACAAGAGACTAGGGCCCTGTGGGACTTGACATCTTTCCACAGGGCCTGTAAGACAGAGCTGTTCCACCAGGCTTTTGGTCAGGGCGCAGCCTGACTCCCTCCTTTGGCAATCTCCACAGAATTTTAGCTTAATGGTTGCCAACAACTTGATTTTAATTAATTTTTATAATGAAATGTTTTTAGAATCCTGTACTATTTTATTGAGGGGACGCGGGTGGCGCTGTGGGTAAAACCTCAGCGCCTAGGACTTGCCGATCGCATGGTCGGCGGTTCGAATCCCCGCGGCGGGGTGAGCTCCCGTCTTTCGGTCCCAGCTCCTGCCCACCTAGCAGTTCGAAAGCACCCTTAAGTGCAAGTAGATAAATAGGTACCGCTTTATAGCGGGAAGGTAAACAGCGTCTCCGTGTGCTGCGCTGGTGCTGGCTCGCCAGAGCAGCTTCGTCACGCTGGCCACGTGACCCGGAAGTGTCTCCAGACAATGCTGGCTCCCGGCCTTTTAAGTGAGATGAGCGCACAACCCTAGTGTCGGACACGACTGGCCCGTACGGGCAGGGGTACCTTTACCTTTACTATTTTATTGTTGTTAGCCGCCCTGAGCCCGGCTTTGGCTGGGGAGGGCGGGATATAAATAAATATTATTATTATTATTATTATTATCATTATTATCATTATTATTATTATTAGGTTGAGCTCGGGTGGAGTAACAATATATTAATCACACAATCTTCCAATTAAAGCATAATTGCAGTCTTGTGCATGTCTACTCAATGGTGAGTCCCATTTCATTCAGTGGCAGTCACTCCCAAGTAAATGGATTGGATTAGAGCTTTAATCTTGTTCTGTCCCTGGCCACCAAAAGCCAATGTGAATCCATTGACATACATCTAAATGTGAAGTACTATACAGGAGGTAATACCAGTAAACATCAGCAAGAATATCCCTTGTTCCCCACAAAGGAAGCATTGGCTAGAGCGTAGGGGTTGAAGGCAGGCTTGAGAACCTTCACTTTTCTTTTAATGCAGTGGCTACAGTATTTCTTTCCATTCAAGAGGGCATATTGAAAGGAATGAAGGGGAGTAAATGCTTATTTAAAACAGACTTTTTCTAATGACAATACTGATAAAAAAAGTCAAATTACAACTGATTAGTATAAATGGGCTTTTAAACACAGTGGCTCTGGACAGGATGCGGGCAAAACAGGTAGATAGGAATTGGATCATAGAAAACAACATGAAGGGACAGTGTGGAAGCACCCATTAGGATAGAGCCTCCTCTATAGTGGTGCATTGACTGGAATTCCTGCCCTGTGGAGGTGCAGATGGCCACTATATTCAAACAAACAAACAAACAAAACTTTCATTTGCTGTCTTACCAATTAAAAATTGTCCTCAGTGATTAAAATCCAGCCCCACTGATTATCAACTAAAATTAGGTGGAACTAAATGCTACCAAGGAAACGTAATGGCTGACAGGCATTTGTAGGGAGGGGAAGTGGTAGTTGGAGGAAGATTTTCTTCTGTTCCCTGCAGATTGTCTTCTGCATACACCCTTAATGATTATATTTAAAGGATTTCCCCATCACTTGGACTCTGAAACCAGAAGTGAGTCTAACGAGTGTGGAAATTTATTGAGGTGCACATTTGCAGGGAGAAATCACGGTTCAGGAGAAATAAGTATCTCCCCACCGCCAGGGAATAAACCTGCCCTATAAAGCTGTGCAGGGGTGCGGGTGGCGCTGTGGGTTAAACCACAGAGCCTAGGACTTGCCGATCAGAAGGTCGGCGGTTCGAATCCCCGCGACGGGGTGAGCTCCCGTTGCTCAGTCCCTGCTCCTGCCAACCTAGCAGTTTGAAAGCACATCGAAGTGCAAGTAGATAAATAGGTACTGCTCTGGCGGGAAGGTAAACGGCGTTTCCGTGCGCTGCTCTGCTTCGCCAGAAGCGGCTTAGTCATGCTGGCCACATGACCCGGAAGCTGTACGCCGCCTCTCTCGGCCAATAAAGCGAGATGAGCGCCGCAACCCCAGAGTCGGTCACGACTGGACCTAATGGTCAGGGGTCCCTTTACCCTTTACCTATAAAGCTGTTTCAGCCTGATCCTATCTGTATATTCAGAAGTCTGCACAGTGAGGCTTATGCACACATAAGTATTCACAGAATTGCAGCCTTACAATGGAGTCCTGTGCATGTTTACTTAGGAGTAAATCTGATTGAGTTTAATGAGATTCCCTGCTAACTGAATATGTATTAGGGCTGGGAAGCTTTTCAGCCTGAGGACTACATTCCCTTATGGTTATTTTATGGGAGTTGCTTGCTGATAATGGTGGGAGTCAGAGATAAAAATGGTGTAGCAATTAATGTAACAGCATTGGAAAGATTTCAACGCATATCCATCAATGCAGATAAAAACAATCTAGCCAGGAACAAAGTAGGTTGGTGAGAGGCTTGGTCTGGGGAGGGGGCATGGAGAGCTACACTTGGTCCCTGGGCCTGAAGTTCCCCATCCTTGGTATATAAGATTGCAGTCTTAGTAATTCCCTAATTAAAACATGCAGCCCTGTTTAAACTGCTGAGATGTGGGAAATTATGCAGTTTGCCAGAGCTCCCTATTCTTTCACTTGGTTCCTTTGTCCACTCTTCTACCCTCTGCTGTGGTGCAAAACTGAAATCTTGCTTGCTATTGTAGGATTGGGAGAAGGTAGATGAAGGAACTGTCATGACTGCATTTTTCTTCTTATGCACTGTTAAAGGTGTGTGTGTGTGTGTGTGTGTGTGTGTGTGTGTGTGTATGACAACTCTGGGTTGTATCCAACTGTGTTTTACTCAGAATAGATCCACTGAAATGAATGGACCTAAGTTAGCTGTGCTCATTCATTCTAATAGATCATACTTATCAACTCTTAAGTATGATTAAAGTTAGATACTACCATCTGTATTATAACCCAGCAATCTTAACATTTAGTTCTTTGTATTTATTTATAAAACCTCGCCTTCAGACATATAAGCCCAATTCAGACACAGCAGCTCTGGTCTGACAGCCATGGTTTAAGGCTCCCTCCATAATAATTATTATTTGTTAGTTGTTAGTTTTCTTAACCCCCCTTTCACCAAAGTCCCAGGGGTCACAACAATCTTAAAATACAATCTTAAAATCAGTTAAAAGTTTGCGATCAGAAGAGGAGAGCGAGTCCTAAACATGAAACCAGGTTCCATTGTTTATCAGCCCAGATTCTTTCTATTTGAACAGGGACATAGCTTTACTTAAACTTGCAGTGCTAACCTAAAAACAACATATGTAAAAGCAGCAGAAAATAACCTCTATAAAATACAGGTAGTAAAATCAGTCAAAACATCAAAACAGCTAAAGTGAATAAAAGGGACCCCTGTAAAATTTTCATCCCTAATATCAGGACCAGTATGCTTCTTAGGAACTACTGTGCTAGAGAAACCTTCAAAAACCCAGTAGTTCCTTGTGACTACCTGAGGGAGTCAGGAGAATAGCTTTCATATAAGAAAGCAGGGAGCTCTTGGCAGAAGTGTAAAGAAGGCTGATTATGACATTCACTTGGGATGTAGAAGGTGTGGGTTCAGTTCCCTCTTGTATTCATTTTCTTAAGATTCAATTCACACTATACTTTAGCTTTCTATCTGTAGAGGTTAACAGGTTTTTGTTTTTTACAAAATGTTGAGATGGTCAGACACTGTGGGAGACAGGTCTAACAAGAGACAGAAAATAAAATAGTTACAGTGTCAACGTAGATGTGTTCTAAACAGCAGACTTTAAAACCAAAGTGAGAGTTGACCCACCCTAAGGAGGTACACATGGGACTTTGATAGAAGAAGTGTGAGCAGAGGACCGAATAAAGGAGGGAAATGGAACAAAGTTCAAGAAGAAAAAGGATAGCAAATCAAAGAAAGAAAAGGAAAATAGGCATGGGCCTAAAGAATGGAAACCCTATGTAAATTCTGGTCACATTCCTGCCCGGTATACTCTCCCCTAATAAGCAAGCCATCCAACATGAACTCTGAGCATTCAAGACTGTGGTAAATGGGGAATGTTAGAGAGAGCAACCAAGTGTAAAAGTCAGCAAAGCAGAAAGGTTTGGATAACAATGACACAAAATCTTTCTTTTCCTTCACCTCTGATTCATGCTCTGTGACTTAGGGCAGCTGTAAGGAGGTAGATCATTGGTAACATACCTTAGCGGCTATGGAGTGACACTACCCAACCAAATTCTGGGTTACTTTACAGGGGGAAAGTTCACATATATTGTTTGACATGTACCTCTCAGCTGTAGGAGAAATTTCTGCAGTGGAGCAGAAACCAAATGGGTATCCAGACAAACTGCATTATACTGCCACAGTAACTTGGTAGCATTACACAATAACGGTTGAGAATAATTATCTATGGCTTTGTTTTTACTGCGGTGTTAAAACTGAGGATTCATATGGTTTTTATATTCCTCCATGCTAAAAACGTTCCTGTACTTAGAACACTAGTGTGTGTTAGGAAGGCTGAGTTAGATTCTCTCTGATTTCTAGGTTAAATAAATTTTATTTTTATTGCTGCTGGCATCTGTCTCTCTCAGGAGACAATGGAAGAGTACGCCTTTGGGGGTGAGGTCAAGCTGTTGGAAGGTTGCACTCCTCCCACTGGTCATTTCTCCTCTGGTCACTGCTATGGATACACAATGTGACTGCATTGTCTTCAGGCATTGTGGTTGTCTGCAAGGGGTTCCCACATGATAGGGTTGATGTTGCCAGCCTTCGTGTCACATTTGCAGACATCTTTATAACACAGTGTTGGTTTGCCGACTGGCCTGCTGGCGGAAGCCAGCTTTCCATAGAGCACGTCCTTGAAGATCCTGGCATCTTCCATTTTGTGGACATGACCAAGCCAGTGTAGACGTCACTGAGCCGGGAGTGAGAACAATACTCCATTTTTGTATGGAGTAGCATTTGATTATGTGTGTCCCCAACCTGCAGTCTAAAGTGGTACAGTCCTGACTCATGTTTACCACCTCAGTGAGAATCTAGTCCAAGTGTGTCTACCCTCAAATCTTGGCACAATATAGCCACCGGTGGTTCAAACAACAACACCACCATTTAAAACATTAATTGAGCAGAATGAAACTGACATTCAACAAACCCATCTAAACTTAAATTATTTTCAGCCAGTTTGACCAAGCACCATTACCAGGTTTGAGAAATATCTCAAATAAAAGGCAAAAACTGCTGCTGAGAAAACAACAATACATCCCTAAATTAGCAAATGCTATCTCAATTTCTTGTGTATGGATTTTGAGAGGATGAGTCAGAGCTGTGTGTTGATCCATCAACCTGTGCTATATGGGTCATCTGCCTGTGCTGGTCCTCAGTCCATTGAAATGCAGACAGGATAATCCTAGGCACCTCCAGCCTGGTGGGTTTTGTTTGGCAAATATATTCTGCAACATATATTTGATGCAATACTAATGCTTTCATAGTGGATTTATAATGAACAGTTTGTACATCATTCCACTTTCTTAGTTCAGTGATGCTTATCCAATGTAACTGCATTTACTGCCTCCTGGAAGGCCACTTTTGCACTATACTGCAATTGGGGGAGGGGGGAAACAACTGTTAGGATATTTCCGTTCCACCTTAAGAACGGAGCAGGTTGTTGTGTCACAGCCTGTGTAGTTCCTGTTCACAGGATGTTTCTGTTTTTGTATATAGCTGTTGTCTCTCTCTCTCTGTGCCTGGACACGCAGGCAGGCAGTCATGTTTTTCTTTGTTCTGACCAACGCTGAATAAAGTTGTAAATAATGCTCTCCTGAGTGCATCTTTCGTTGTGCGAACTCTGCAAAGGGCGTGCACCAGTCCTTGGAATGTGGACAGATGTTTCTGAGGCTTGTGTCGCTAATTGACTGATACTGCGTTTCTATGGGAGGTTGATGGATCGTCCGAAGTCGACGTGGGGGCATGATGGCCTTTGTCTCCCTGGCAGTATCCCAACAACAACAACACCAGAACATTGGTGGTATGAAAAGTTACAGGGTTTCTTTTAGTACTGTTTGCACTGCAGGTGTTTGAGGGATTCTATGTAATTGCCCTGATACCACCATGAGCACAAATAACGAATGTGCAATAAAATGGACAGCTGGAGGGGATCACAGTCCATTGAAATGCAGGTAGGTCCTAGGATTATCCTGGTACCTAGCCAGTCAGCGACACAAAGAACAATGTTATGTGGGGTTCTCCAGTCCCAGAGCAGTCTTGTCATGAAGCAAGACATGCTGGCTACTGCTGGCTGTGGATTTTGAGACCATTAATTTCAGCTGATTTTGTGCCCTTTAAACATTTTAAATGCTCCAGTTTTAATTTGTGATGCTAAAAATTGGAAACAAAGGTATTCAAAATTGATAAAGACGTTTCATTAAGGTGATGGCATTATAAGATACGTCCCATAGCTTGTTGAGTGCAATACTCCAGCTTGATGGTTTACTTTTAAAGCACCCTAGTTGTATCCAATGTATGACTTAAGTTAATTTAATATTAATTAAATTGGGTTAATATCATCACTTAGCAGTACACTTGTTCCGCTGGTGAAATGTTTTGTGCCAGCAGGATGTTGTGCAAGGGAATGCATAAGCAGGTTGCTGGTAACTTTTTGCACAACCCCTTGCACTAGAGGACAAAGAATGCTGGAAACAGACTTTTCTCATTCCTCCACACACCTGCCTATCTCTGTATCTGTGGCCTGAGGGTAGTGGGTGCTGATGTGATAGCACCGTGACCTTGATTCTGGCCTAGAGTGCCAGTGTGACTTGTTTGTGCCTGAGATAGAAGAACTTAGACCTTTTTAGGTATTGTTTTGAGAAAACACTGTGTTTTGGAGGGTGGGATTTAAATGTATCAAATAAGTACATTCTACAAATTTCAGCATATCTAAAATGTGCTTACATGCCTGCCTATGCACATTCTCTGTTCTTACAGCATCTGAAAAGGACTATGGGGCACTCTGCCTCCATAACCCTTAAATTGCTGTTCTCAAGGAATCTAAATTGGCATATCTGGAGAGAAGCAATGCTAATAGTACACAAATGACAAAGCTTTAGAATGCCTATATGTCTATCTTACCAGAAACTAATGTGACAGCAGCCAAGCTAGCTGAGTGAATTAGGTTATGAGGTTGGATTCAGTGTTTATTTTCTAAGTATTCTAAGAAGAGCTGGATCAGATCAAAGGCGTACCTAGTCCAGCATTGTGTTCTCACAATGGCCAACCAAACAGGACATGAGCGCCAATATCATTTCCCTTTGTGATCCCCAGCGCTTGACATTCACAGGCATGCTGCCTCGGAACATAACCACCACGACCAAATTGGTGGCCTTCCTTACATTTTGTCGAAGTCAATTCCAGCGTTTTACTGTGTGCTGCTTGAAGAAATACTTTGCTTTGTCTGCCCTGAATCTCTCAAAATTCACCCTCTGTGGTTCTGCTGTATTAGATTTTGTTTGTCACAGCTGGGCAGATATTGAAGGCAGCATTCCAATCAAAGCTCTGGGTTCTACAAACCCAGCAATTTGCAATTTCAGAAGTAAGGTTCCCAGGCCAAGCATAACTTGTGGTCCTTGCATAAGCACACAGCAGTAGGTCTTCTTCCAAATAAATAATCACACAACGTCAAATAATGTGCCTAATTTATATGTATAACAGTCATAGTATAATTGAGGCCCTGGGTATGTGACTGCAAGATTGACCTAAATTCTTTTGGAAACTTCCTGCGTTCTCCCAGTGCAGCTGATTAGAGGTTCTGTTATAGCCTTAAATGCATTTAAAAAATTGAAGATTGTGATGAATTAAATATAATGCTGAATAACAGGATCCTGACATCATCTTCCATTATTCAATCAGAAATGTGATATTAGGTTGCAGTGTCCCCAAATGTAAATTTTCCCTGTGCTGTAGATATTTTGCGGAAAATGCACAAGAACATGAGGGGCAGTGCTGACAGGGAGGCAGATAGCTTTGCCAGATGTGAAGGAAGGAAAAAAACCCCTCAAGATCCTGAAAAGTGTGGACAGAACTTTGACATAAGAAGTAGACAATTGGGGTGTGAGCAGATTGGCAGTGTTTTTGCATGATCTGCTGCTTACATTTCATATACAATCCTGGGATATGTCACTGTTCTTCAGTTCCCGAGTGTGTGTGTGTGTTTCCCACATAAATATCATATAACAAAATACAGAATGTCCTGATAATCATCTGGGCAGCATTCTTCCATTCTGCTAGTACCTGGCTGTTGTCCCACCTCTCCTCATTATTCATTATCAGAATATTTTTCTTTTCTTATCTTGCAACAAATTTGCAGTGCTGCACACTGTTACTCAATCATCCAGACACCTGGTTAATTTTGTCTGCTCCTTTCTTTTAGCAGAAGATAAGCATGGCTACCCCCTGATCTTCTCTCAAGGTTCTCCCCCCTCCACTTTTCAGTATGCTCAGTGGTGCAGTCAGATATTTTTTTATTCTGGTTTTCATAGAATCATAGAAGTGAAGAGTTGGAGGGCACTCCAAAGGTCATCTAGCCTAACTCCTTGCAATGCAAGAATCATAGCTACAGAATCCCAGGCAGTTGGCCATCCAACTTTTATTTTTATTTTTTTAACTTCCAATGAATCAGAGTTACCAGCTTCCAAAAGCTCTAAAATTGTCAGCAAGGCAAATGGGGAATTTATTGGATCTTACATTCTTGACAGAGCTTGAGTTCCAACAGATATCAGAATAGTTGAAGTCCCCCATGACTACTATATCTCTTCTTTTTGAATTTATGGTAATTGCTCTAGGAAGGCATCATCCAAGCCTTCGTTCTGGCTTGGAGATCTATAGTAGACTCTCACTGTGAATTCACCTCTCCTACAATTT